AAAACCCTCCCATTACTATCTGCCATCCAAACCGTACGTCAAAACCTCCCATTATTATCTGCCATTAATACCTTGAGTAAAATCCCCTCTATCAAAGCCTGCCATCAAAAACTTTTCATAAATACCTCAGACAGTCTCCCTATATGCATCAGTGTTCAGTAGACTGAACACTGATAATACCCTCACCTTCCGGCTTGAGCAATAGTCGCGTCCATTCTCCTGAGCCGGTCTTAAATGCACGTTTAAGACCGGTCAAGTTAATACTTTTTTTCCCCTGATTAAAACCTGCCATCCATACCTGGTGTGAAAACCTCCATGAAAACCTGCCATCAAATACTGGTGACAAAACTTCCCATCGAAACCTAACATCAGACCAGGTGTCAAAATCTGCCATCAAATCTGTCATCAAATCTACCTTCAGACATCCCCCATAAACCTATTGTCAGAAACTGCCGTCAAAACACTCTGTGAAAACCTGGGCTGCATTCATACTACTTATAACATTCCTGAATACATCGAACACTGTTGAAGTTTTCTGTGTAAGGCCCGTACTGTCATGAGAATGTGCTATTGAATGCAACCCTGCCTTCAAAACCAGCCTTGAAAACCTCGCATGAAACATGGCTTCAAGACCTGGCATCACATCGTCTGTCAGAACTTGCTATCAAAATCTGAAATCCGAATCTGGCACCAAGACCAGCAAAGCATGTCATCCTTATCTGGCATCAATCTCATTTCCTAACCTGACGTCAAAAAGTCATGTCAAAATCCGGCATTGTTATCTGACATCCACAATTGAATGCAACTATTGCCTGGATATTCTAGACCTGTGGCCAATTTCATAGAGCTGCTTAAGCACAAATTTTCCTTAAGCATGAAAAAAACCTTGCTTAAAAAACAAAGGTTACCAGCTCAAACTCTATGTGATTGTTATGCTAAGCAAAAGACAACTAAATACGATCCCAAAGCATTATACATCACATGGAGTTTTGGCTGGCTACCTGATTTATCAAGTAAGGCCTTTTTTGCACTTAAGCAAATTTTGTGCTTAAGTAGCTCCATGAAATAGGCCCCTTGGTCATAGATGTGTCAAATTCTGTTATGGCCTTCAAACTCCATGTTATTTAGAACAATTATTGGAGGGTTGGTATCAAAAACAGTGTTTTTGTGTTTGAAAAATTTCTGGAAGTAAACAGTGTCAATGCCTTCAAGTAGTAGATTTTTTGGTATAAATATTCACCTCACAAGGAAAGTTCCCTTCGATACTTGCCATAGGTGGTGGATTTATTTTAGTATGTATAGCAATGTGTTTATAGATTTTGGTCCAAGTATAATTGTTTCTAGGGGTGTGTGTTTTATTTATTTATTATGTTCTTTTGCAGTAAAAATCCCTGCAGGGTTAAACCTGAAGGTCAAAAGCAGTTACTTAAAGTTTACATTGTTAATATAATATCGGGCAAACATATTTGCAGTGTACAAAGCGTATACCAATAGATACACTGATTTAAATCAATTTACCGCAGTACTTATGATGTGGTTTTAACGGAAGAGAACGTAGAAATTCCCCCCCCCAAAAAAGAAAATTGGGGGCATTTGTTTTATTTTTCTGTGTATGACTATTGCAATTAAAATGCTAAAAAACAGATCTCTCTCTTCAGTGCCCACAGGTGCATGAGAGTTAAGTGTGCAAATCGTCGATTACACCACAAAGTGACACATAGTTTCGCTTGATACGTCACTTTGTGGTGCAACCGATGAAAATTTCTGTACATGCACACAGGCTGATCCAAATGTTTTTTGAAGTATGGTGCAGCCAACGTTCGTCAAGAATAATTTGGTGTCCAAACTGCAGATGCACGTACCAGTCTGTAGAAGTGACATCATTTGAGAGAGAGCAATAAATTTCTGCTTTGAGTCCACTTACGGTTGATTCCACTGTGCCTGATGTCATAGAACTATGACTTGTTTTTAAAAACGTGTTTAACATCATTTTCTACGTTCATTGGGGGTGTATTAGTTTTGGGCAAAATGTTTTATTTATAACATTATAACATTCTTGTACTTCATGTCATGTTTTTGATTTGGATGTGGACAAAATCTTGTAAAAGATTACTTTCATAATAGTTTGATGTTGTTTAGTTGGTGCAAAATAGATTACGTTTTGCCTTTCTGTGTATACAAATTTCCACTCTCAACGGTTAATACCACTTCAAGGAAATTTGAATTCAATGTAACTCTGACAGCCGGTGATGTTTCGGTCAATTCCTCAGATTACATATTACCTTAAATATCAATGTTTTTCCCGAGATTTATGACTTATCTTCACAGGTTCATCACAGGTACAGTGTAGTTTTTTATGTTACTATCATCTCTATCAAGAAAGTACCCCGTAATGCTTGAAGCTGAGAACTCAGCTGTACAACTTACATACCTGTCTGGCAATATTACCAAACGACTTCCTCTGTTGTGCTGTTGAACATTTTTTCTGAAACTTTGGAGAAATACTTAAAAACACCAAAACTGTGTTTTCTTTTTTTAAAATTAAGATCATGCCAAATACAGTGTAGCTCATTTTGTATATTTTATAGCAGTTTGTATCCATTTACATATTTTTTATACTCCAGTTAATGTTTATATTTACCTATCAAGATTTTTCAAAGCTAACAGTTTCGAAATTGGCAATCTGGTCAAAGCTATGTACTTGGATATATGCGTATATTTAAACGTTTTTTCTTTTCCGTTCTGAGTTTTCAAAACAGACCTTGCGTAAGCATGTGTATACTACTGTTTTTGTTTATTGAAAATGACAATCTTGCCCGATACACATCTGTGTACATAAATATGCGAATAAAATTGGACATTTTGACAAGCCATGCTAGCTTGTTTACTTTATTCTGGTACAGCAAAAAATTAAACAGTAATTTTAATAATATAAAATTTTTGTATGGTTTTCCAGTGCTTGGGCTTGTAATTTTAATACCAACGAAATCCCTGTGAAATGATTTTGTAACAGTAATAACTCAAAATCTTGGGTTGTGAAGTTAAGGTGTTTAGGAATTTGATCAGTTGAAAGCTCATTCTGAAAGGGGAAAAATATGCTTTCTATTCAAAGAGGTGCTACCTTTACAGTTGAGTAAAAAGTCCTGCAAATGGGTTAAAAAATAACGTTCCCGTTCCGTCCGACCGTTCCCACTGGAACGCTGGACTTCCATCAGACCGTTCCAGGCAGCAATCTATTGGGAACACGTGCTCCCCAGTGGAATGGTCCCGCAGTTACATTTGCAACCGGAAAGAAAGATTTCTGGAATTCATTATCTAGACCCTGCGTCTGAAGCACGGCAGCTGGATGGAACGCAGCATTTCTGATTTCTTCCTCATGAAGGTTAACTTTTCTCCAGTTTTTCTTTCCCATAATCACCATGACGTGGCTTACCATGCAATGACTTAAGAGTATATCTGGACATCGTTAATTTTAATGTTAATGTTAACGTCAGTACTTGTGAGTGTTTTATCCATCATCCGGCTTGCGTGGTAGAGGAATAAGTTGTATGTGTGGGAAAGCCATGATGACCAACATTGTCAGCAGCAAGTAAAAAAAAAAAATCTTCAGGATGACAAAAAAAAGGCATTTATGAATAGTCACGTCCGAATTTGTTTTTTAAAAAAAATGGCGCACATTTAAGTTTGATACTTATGGTATGCTAAAATGCTAACTGCACGGCTTGACTGAGAAACGATACTATACACTATTTACACTGATGTTTTCCAATGAGAAACAACGGTACTGTCAGGAATAACAAATACCACCACCAACTGATCTCACTTTGTGAGAGGCAGGGAGGGAGGTTAGCATGCCCACAACATGGATAAGTTGTATGTGTGGGACAACCAACATGGCTGCTGGATGTCCACAGGTAAACACAACAGTGTGAGTGATGGAAACAGGTTCAGTATTCGCACCTGTTTGTTTCACACAGATTCTGATCTCAATTGGTAATCTGTCGTTGGTTCACTGACATCAGAACCTGTCTCATGGATGGAGCGAACCAGTGTTTGGAATTAGTGATCCAGATCTGTTTGAAACAAATGAACCCATAAAGGACTACAAACCAGGTGCAATTTCCAAACAAGCTTGTAAACAACAAACTCTTGCTTAATGACTATGTGCTTAGCCAATATTAATAGTGTATCACTTTCAACCAACAGTCAAACTGTGACCTTTTTGGCTGGTAAACTGGCTTGCTAAGCAAATATTTGCAGAGCTAAGCAACTTTCTGGACTCATGAACTCTGTGAAAATTTGACCTTATTTGATTTACAACAAAAAAACCATGAGCCAAAACAGGCTATTCACACTAGAGCGCCACCAAGAGTTTGCAAGACATTGACCAATCATAATGTGCGAAATCTGTCAACCAAATGCGCGTTTGAAAAAGGTCGACAGATTTCGCGCATTGCGATTAGCCAACGCATTGCAAACTCTTGGTGGCGCACTATTATGAAATGTACTCATCCATGGTCAAAATATTACTTTTAGTCTTTGTGCAGCTTGGCCAGTACTCGAAGGTTGAGGATCTTGAAGTCGGATGGTCCGTCCATCTTGACGATGCCATCGTCATTGTCGATGCTGATCAGTACGCCGGTCTGGTCACGATCGTCACCGTCGATGACTTTTACCTGATTGGAAGAGAAGGGGAAAACTGTGTCACAGACTTGGTCAAATTAAACAGAGCGCATGGGCGCATGCAACGTATGGCCTGGTGGCTACTCTAATCCGATAGACAACATCTATTGATGCCCGAGTATTTCAGCCAGGCCTGCCGCCTTGTAAAGATAGCCCAGATTGTGCAGTGCTATGTAATTTTCTTTTGTTCCCGAAACTGGCCCAGTGCGCTACTGCCGTCCTTACAATGCGGACCAGATTAGCGTGCAGTGGTATTTTATTGCTCAACCCTGGAGCGCTAGAGCGCTTTTGTCCCTAGGGGTAATCTGCTCGCGCTGAATGCCACAAACAGTGGTAGAATCATTCTAAACAATGACGGATTTTCTCCGCTTTTGACAACTGAAACAATGTTGGCAATTCCCAGCAGCCCAGTCGTTTTTTCCCGAGTACAGTCTTTCGTTACAAGGCCGAGCTCCTTTGTCTGATTTCGGGCACCCTGACTATGCGCTTAAAGCCAACGTCTCCGGTACCGGGCTACCGGACATGAAGTGGTTAAGGTCACTACGGTAGTAAGCACAATAATAAGAAAAAGAAAGTTATTACCATGATTACTCTTACAATCAGGAAAGGGGGTATGGATGACAGAGGGGCAAGGTAGGCCAGCAAGACCTGGGGGCAAAAGGGACCAAGGAGGGGTCCTTGATGGAGGGGGAAGGAAGCTAAGAGAAAAAAAGGAGTTTTAGATAGAGAGAGTATTGCCAACTTCAAGCTTTGGAACCAAAATGGCTGTTCACTATGTTTGCAGTGCAGCAGCAGTTATTGTGTGCACTGATGCATAATCCGCCATTTTGGTTCCAACAGTTAAAAACACTCATGCTGCAACTCTCTCTACAAACAGCCTGGGAAGGAGGAAAACAATGTGGGGAGAGGAATGCCAGAGCTGGTTCATGAGATCTTTTTACTTACTCTGTCCATCTTTGCTGGAGTGACTGGCTCGAGGTGGACGCTCTCAACGTTGACCACACGCTCCTCGTCAGGCAGGTAGACAGAACACATCCTTCCCTGTCGGCAAAGTTAACAACTCTTATCTTTAATATCAAAGACAGCTTGATATAAGGGGGATGCAGAAAATAAACACAGAGACCACAAATATCCGCGACTGTACATACAGCTGGGAAAGAGTGACTCACAAAGTTGCAAAGGCAACAGCAAAAATGAACAAGGATTACTTGTCCTGTTGGGTGTTCCATCACCCTACAGCCTCTTACAAAGAGTGACTCCCTCTACAGCCTATATACACTTGGAAGTTTAAGGGAACGTTTCGTAATTACAGAAGGCGGTATTTACTGTGGTACCGCTGTTTTTGCGGTACCAGCATTAAGCCCTTTCGGGTAACTAGTGCGGTGCCGCTAAAAAAAACAGCGGTACCGCAGTAAATACCGCCTTCAACAATTATGAAACGCTCCCTAATTCATGTGAGGATGTTGCGATTTGTGCAACATACCAGTACATAACCTGTGAGCCCTTAGTGTAAAATCTGTATCGTACATATCAAGAGGAAGTTTTTGGAGCTCTTTGAGCGGTGTCTGTTGAATGTCTAAAGGCACAGGTGTGACTTACCCTCATACAGCCCGCTACATTAACCCTAACCCCCTAGGGTGTATGTAAAATCGTATTAAAATTGGAGGATTTGGGAGTGTTAGGGTTAAACAAGTTTAACTTCAACGCATAGTTCATTAAATTTACATTGAGCACAAATCAAACCGATCATCGAAATGCCATCTTTTATGACAACAGGTGTTCTCCTTTTCATCAACGTATATCCATAACACTGTGTCCTCGGTGTTTGTTCAAGAGTTTGTAAAAAAAAAATCACAAGCCTACTCGAGTGGGACTTGAACCCAAGCCCCGCACCTTGAAATTCGAATTTTTTTGTTTTTCTTTGATATTCAAAGTTCTGGAAAATTGTGTGGGAAAACACAGAGAAACACTTACCGAGATGCTGCGGATGACCCCCGTCTTTTTGACCAAGGCCTGATCCTCGTGCGACACGATGGTCACCTCGATGTCCGTGGTCTGCCACTCGTAGGCGGTCCCCCCCTCCAGGCCCATCATCCCTCCGCCGGGGGTCTGGGGGTTGAAGCCCAGTGGGGAGGGGGCTCCGGGTGTCATGGGGAAGCCCACGGGGCTGGGGGTGGCCTGGTAGCTGCCTCCTGGGGAAGGCGTGGGCTGGTAGCTAGAGGGAGACGGGGTGGGCTGGTAGCTGCCAGGGCTAGGGGCTTGCTGGAAGGAGGCAGAGGAGGGGCTGGGAGTAGCTGTGGGAGCAAGCAAACCACGATGTTTTCTTGATCATAGTCAGAGATACCACAGAAACTTTTTGCAGAGCCAATCTTCACTTTTTTCTGGACAGAATCCAGGAAACTTGGGTGCGTCAAAAGTTTCTTCAGAAGATAACCAACAAAATTACTTGTAGTCTTTTTAATAAGAGCTGCAACTTTCCCTTAGGGCTGAGTCAATTTGAATAATTCACTATTTGAATATTCCACCTTCAATTCGGTCAAACATCCAAATATTTAGTCGCACCAACCAATAGATTGTTGAGGAACAAACCATATACAAAATAAGTTGCAATAATAGACACAATTATACATTATAATCACTGTAGTAGCTTCTCACATTTACAAGTATCTCCAGCCATGATTTAGCAAGATTTGAAAGATCAACAATACTTCCTTTCCAGTTGAAAGTGAATACTCTTTTAAATTTTTTAATGAATAATATACTTTTCAAATCATTGTAAGGTTTTGTCACTTTTCATTTAAACTTACTTGGAACAAGCCTCCATAGTGCAATTCTTCTCATTTAAAACAAAAGAAAATTCTCTCTTCCTTTTCATTAATTTTGCATTCGAATATTCAAATCCAAAAAATAAAATTAAAATATTCGATGGTCCACCGAATATTAGGTTATTTGGATATTTGGCACAGCCTTACTTTCCCTTGACAACTTTTATATATGCCAAGGTTTTCACGGACATTATACCCTAAAAAAATTTGAATTTTCCTAGACAGAGATGTCTCAGAAAATAGGGAGCTTTTCAAGGGCAAATCAATGACCTTCTCTTCCTTGATAATTTCAACAGCACTTGAGTTTTAGTCCTCAATGGCTTTCAAAAACACACCCTCAACTTTTCCGTTTAAAAATGTGACCTTTTCTTGACAAACTTGACACTTATGTATTGTGAGAAGTCCCGCAAAAAATATACCAAGAAAGTTATACGCAAAAATTATAAGACCTTCCTAGAACAAACCAGATGACTTTTTTTCTTGATAAAAATTGTTAACACTACCATGACAGCATAACATTTCCATTCAGAATCCTGTGGGAACAGAGAGTTTACAACTGACCTTATGGCAATTCTATGACTGCCTCTCAGTAATCAGTCCAGAATTTTCCCTGAAAGAAAAAAACCGCAGAGTTTGGACTTACGTTGGTAGTTGCCAGGAGATGGAGTTGGCTGATAGGGCGAGTAGGTGGATTCGCTGCCGTACATCCCAGACGAGCTACCGGGAGTGGCCGGGGTGTAAGGGCCATTGCTGGGCGGGGTCTCCGATCCATAACCAGGGGTGGCAGGGTTGGGTGTGGCACCGTACGGCTGAGGGGAGGGGGACGCCTCGTCATAGCTGAAGTCGTAATCACTGGACCTGGATATGAGAATGTTCGTCTTCTATATAAGGCTGACACCGGATTTTGAATTTGACTTCACACTGGATCGAGATTGGCCGAAAGAAATGGAGACCTAGGGAGCAGTTTAATGAAGACCCTTCAAATGCTCATTGCTACATGCACCAACAGCAGGTTAGGACTGATCTCTAGCTGTATTAAAGAACTTTAAGATGAACCCTTGCCATCCAAGCGTAACTTTTTTGACAGTCAACTGTAGCTTTGAATACCTCCCAAGCTTTCCCATGACGAAACCACAATGAACTTGGCGTTGATGCCTTTAGAATCTGGTTCCCGAAAATGCTTGCGTTAGTCAGAGTTGGAATTTGCTGAGTTACCTGCTGGGCGTGTTGGTGATGTTGGGGTCCCAGGCTCCAGATCTTCCTGGCGTCTGACTCCCATCATGCAACGGGGTCTGTGAGCCGTAGTGGGGCGTTCTACTTCCTGCAGGGCAAAGGCAAAACAAGCGTTCTTGTAATACTGCATAAACCCTGTGCTACCGCAAAAGATTTAATATCGGATAAAGTGACAATTAAGAAGAAAAATGAAGAAATGATCAGTTTTAGAGGTGGAAGGAGAACCCCAGAAGTGGGAGGGTAACCCTAGTCAAATATTCTAGGTAAAAACCCAACCGAATAAGGCAACGACTGAAAACCCAATCCTCCTGCAGATCTCAGCAGAATGCAAGCTAGGGCTGCAGCAGTGGAAGTCGAGGGAAGAGCCACCAAGCCGACCCGGCTCCCCAAATTTGATGACTGAATTCACTCATCAAAATCTACACACTCTGAATATTTGGTCTGACCTTCACCAATGCAAGTTGTTGAACACTGTATGCTCAGTGATTTACAGGAGCTTGTGGGAAAAAGTTGCTCTGCAGGTGGAAGTCGAACCCATAACCTCCTCGTTACTTGTGCCTTCTGGTCTTAACCAGACGACTACCAAGCTTGTTAGGGCAAGCTGGCTGGTGCAATTATGAGTGCCTCAGCCAAAGACTAGTGAAAGGCTTAGTCTAATGAAGTCGATTCAATAGTTTGTTCAAACAAACCTCATGTCTGATCTATCTGTGATAAGGACAACTGATTCTGACAGTGAATAAAGTAGAGTGACTTCGTGAACATCTACCAAGTAATTTGCAATACGCATGTATATGGCTACCCTGAAATAACGGCTATGGCTAAGAAAAGCATGAGCGCGTATGGAAGCTGCTTGATAGTGGCTGCATCCACTTCCCATAGACATGTGTTCCAGTCAGCTGCAGCTGAGAGTTTCGGACAAGGCTTATGGCAACAAGTTTACAGCTTTAAGACAAACGGGAACCTTACCATCATGGAGAGGTGTCTGCGAGCCATAGACTGGTGTCTTGGATCCAGAGCCGTACATGGGAGTCTGGGAACCATACATGGGTGTGCGACCATAAGCCGTCGTTGCGCCAGTTCTGATCTGCCCACTGAAAGAAAAATGGATTTTTAAAACAATGTTCTTTACCGTCTTCAAAACGTACATGTACATATTGAGAAATACCTTTCATATTTTGCTGCTAGATAAATGGCAGTTATTAAATATCTCCTTCCTGATGAGACAATGATTTCCAAACACTGCTTTCATTTAAAAAAAAACCTCTTCACTTACCCAACTCTGTTCAATCTGTTTTTGTCAACGCTGATTGTTCTGAACATGGCATGTAGCTCCACCCTGGCTGTGGATTCCGTAGCGTCCTTCACAATACCGATGTGACCTACATGAATGGACACCACCAAATGACAGCTTGATTCTCAACCTAAAAACAGGTTCAAGGGCCCTCGTGTGTCAATCCTTGCAGAGTCTTTCTCAAGGGATAAAAGATATTGGAAGAGTCTCGAGCAAGAAGGAAATGCACACGCAAAGAAAGGGGGGAAAGAAAGTGAACCAGGGGGACTGCTGAAGGAAAGCAGACGCGTCATAAAAACAATCCTCTTGATGATTTGTCATTTGCCACGGTAATGGGACCCATGTTGTGATTACTTTGTGGTTTGTTTGCTTGCCTAAGTAACTCTGAATCGGTACATAGGCCTACTCTAAATATACAGGTTGAATTCAACTATGCCTTTTGTTCTATGAGTGCTTGCTCCAAATCTCTCCAATGTTTCAATACCCAGCATTCCCAAGTCCTGCAGTTTCCTGTTTTGAGATGCCCTGTTTGGTTTGGTTTGTTAAGAAAAATTTCATGGAAATGCTAAACAGAGAAAGTTGCAGAGTGCAAGAAGCGTTCAACTAGAAAGAAAAACAGGCTGACCAATCAAAGTGTCATATGACGGTTACTTAGCAAAAAACTGGTATCCTTCTAAATGCAACACATGCTCTAGGCTGGTTGAGCAGCATTTGCTGAGTAATCGTTTTCTGCTTAGCAGCTCAAACACGAGCAGACTTTACCTTTGTATGGTCCCTGTGATATCCGGACTGTCTGACCAATCATCTCCATGTCTCGACCAATTCGGCCTCGTCCCCTGCCCATCGGTGCGTTGCCCATACCTGAACACGGACAAGTAATAAAGCACTAGCCTGGGGCGGTATAAAGGCTTTACACGGTAGCCATACTGCAGGGCAGTTCCACTGTTCCACAGGGAAACTTCCTCTCTGCATACCTTGTGCAACAAAAGCACTGGCCTGCAGGATGGCTGCCGTGCAAACCCTTTATTTGCAAACCCTCTATTGGCAAACCCTGTATATCATCATCATTGATGCACAGTATTATGTTATTGGACATTATACAAAAATTCAAAGACGTGTCACTACTTTGGTGGTTAACTTCATTAAGAAGACTTCAGGCTGGATTTAAAGCTGGCAAGAGGTTAAGACCATGGCAGAGAAAAAAATGAATCGTTATCTTACCACCGCTGCTGGGGTGGGCAGGGCTGGATATTCTGGGAGACATTGGGGTGTATCCAATGCCAAATCCTGAATCCATTTGCTGAGAGAAATGAAGAACAATTTCTTTTGAAACACTCTTTTCTACAGTCCAATTTATTGATACGAGGGAAGGACTTGCGTACCGATCAATGTATTAGCAAGCTCTTCTGAGGACAGCACATTTCAACGGCAGCAAAATGGGAATACAGATATTGACAAAACACGGAAAGCTTACGTGATGCAAACCCTTTCTTCAAAATTAAATTGCTTTGATGTTCTGGCAATTGACCGTGTGTTTTTTGAGTGTTGTCTACAAAACATGAAGCTGATTTTCGGCACCTCAGTAGTCTGAGTAATTTACCGACCATTGGCTTCAGTTTCGGTATTATTACACATGTTACGCTTTTTGCTACGGGACTACACCATGTTTGTTGACGTTTGATACCCATTATAGGTCACGTGACTCAGCAGGCGCAATCGGTCTATCTATTTTTTGCAAAGATGATGATATGAACAAAATGGATCATGACAGTGACACCAGAGACGAGAAAACTTAGGTACGTCAGAGGGAAATGGAGGAAGTTGAGGTTCATGAACTCACCCTGGAGCCACCAGCCAAGACGATGTGTCTTGTCCGACAGACAAAGATCCCGCCGTTCTCCGTCATCAAGCGAGAGTGCAGGAATGCAAAGCTCCGATAGATATGCTTAATCTCACCCTGACGACCCTGCCAATAACAGCAAGAGCAAATGTACAACAGTGATGAAAATTTTCATAAGGGCTTAACCACTTTGTGCCGGGGTGTCCAGCATTGGGTTTGTATACATAGCCAGGCTGCCCGAAATCGGACAAAAGAGTTGGGCCTTGTAACAAAAGACCATACTCGGAACAAAAGACCAGGCTGCTGGGAATTGCCAACATTTGTTCAGTTGTCAATAGCGGAGGACATCTGTCACTGTTTTGAAAGATTATACCACTGTTTGTGGCATTCAGCACGAGCAGATTACCACCGGGGACAAAAGCGCTCCAGCACTCTGATAAGCGACACAATACTGCTGCACGCTGATTTGGCCACTGTTGAAAAGATGCCAGCAGCGCACTGTGCCAGTTTTGGGAACAAAAGAAAATTACAAAACGCCGCACAATCTGGGCTACAAGGTGGCAAGCCTGGCTAAAATATTTGGGTGTCAATAGATTTTGTCTGTCAGATTAGAGTAGCCACCAGACAGTCACTCGACGGGGTTTAGGCATTCAGGTAAAAAGACATGAACTTTTGAGGAGTTTTGAATAACGTGTCAGAAATCCAAACTCGGTTATCTCGGGGAGGGGGGGACTTTGCTGTCTGACGAGAAATATAACATTCCTTGCAATCTTCAATCCTCCATTTCTAATATGATTTGTCACATATCCTCCAGGGTTAAGGACAGTGTTTTATTTGAGTAAGTCCACCACAAATCCATCGCGAGTCATTCTGTCTGAAGCCAATTCACAAGCTGTTCAAATGAGGTGTGACAAAAGTCTTCTTTTGTCATCGTTCACCTTGTTGCTTATGACTGGCCTTGCAAAGGGGCTTGTAAATGGTCTTTTGAAGGGACCGGTGAAAGGACTTGCGATGGCCGCAACTCCAACATTGGTTGAGGACACCAAATGTACTTAATTTCTGCACTTCCTTAACAGTGCACCTAATATTGGGTACCAAGTTCTGTTATTAAACATACCGAGTGTGGTCCGTCGATGACTTTGACGATATCCTTGACTTGTATGTTGTTCTGTTCAGCATCCAATGCGATGGCGTTGCGGGAATCTTTCTTTCTGGTAATGGCTGCCGCTTTGACGTGGACCAACTGTTATAAAAGAAGTGAGACATTTGAAGTTTGACAGTGTTGCAAGTATGGAGGTATCCCAAGCCCTTACTGCGCAAGTCTGAGGACATCAGGCGATCTTTGCCATGTGGTTCTTAACCCATTCACGCCAGGACGCATTAAGACATGCCGTAAAAATTGAGACCCTCAGCCCGCTTTTCAGCTTTTATTCTCAGCCCACGCTCGAGTGAACACGGTGAAAGAAGGCAAACCCCGGCTCTTGTAC